GGTGACCCATAAGGTACCCCGTTAGTAATCTCGATTCTGTTCTGTTGGAAAAAAGTGCCTCTTTGCAAAAAATTACGAGTAAGAAGGCATGTATACCACGTGGATTTTTCATCATCTTGACTAGATGAATCAATTCAGCAATATCTAATTGCTTCCTTGTCGACGCTATGACTGTTTGTCTTTGATTTTGGTCTATTTGACTTTCCATCTGTCTGTCTACGAGCTTGCCCATCTATTTGTTGGCCTACGAGTTTGACTGAATGTTTATCTGCCAACCAATTTGCAGATAAACATTTGTTTGTCTGAAGATGTGTGTGTCAATGTTAAATTTTTTGAAATAGTTCACTTTAACATCAGAGACGAAGTTAAGTCCCTTAAAATCAATAGCTCCCTTTAAAGCTTATGTTCAAATTTTCGAAAGAGCCAGACAAAATAAGAGTCATTAGACTATACGGCAAGATGAAAAATTTAAAATTTAATTTGATAAAAAGTTTTGTTTGTGAATAATAACAAATTAGATCACAAAGACAAACGCTCTCTCGTGGAAGGTGAACTTAGTGAAAGAATTAGAACCGTTGTGATATCATAGAAAACGTTTAAGAAATCTCTAGCTGACCGCATTTTGGATAGAGATACCCTATTTTAAACAGGAAAACAACCACTTTAGATATTTTGAATTGATTTGTAATATTGATCTGAAAAACTAGTGTTATTTTTTCATAATGTTGATGAGTGATTTCAGTTTTATTGTATAGATAACTGATTGGATGAATTGTTAAATTTCTTTCCTGTTTTCTTGCTCTACTGTTCGATTGCCAATTAAAATAAATCCTTTAGATAAAAAAAATTCGTTTCAAAATCCATTAAAATTTTTGTTCAACTATAAACAACTCAATTTTCGAATCAAGACTAGATGGAATACTTTTAAGGGAAAAGGAAGCACATATCAATCAAACAATTATTTTCCGCTTCCTGTAACATATTTGTGCTCAACTTGAACTTATTTGTGGTAAAACAGAAAATTCCAATTAATGTAATGTGTATTAAATATTAATGAGATCAAATATCAGGAAAAACTCATTGTTCAAGTATCTGAAAGGCAATATGAAATGGTATTCGAAACATGGAAAGTGTGTACGAGTAATTGAAAGCAACAGTTGTTGTTTTGGTACTGCTAAACCCATTTCCTATCAAATGACAGACATTGTGACAAATGTTCAGATACTTTTTCTTCTTTTGAAAAAGCGTTGGCAATGTTAAAGGCATGACAATCGAATCGACAATTTAAAGGAATTTCATGTGCAATCGCCTTTTTTTACACTTTCAATACCGATTTAAAATTATTATTGCGCAATATATAACAACGCACTTCCCCACGCAACATTTTGCTATTATTAACATTTATTTTGTCTATTGGTTGGTTTTTTATAACTTTAAAATGTAATACATAAAATGGAAAAGCTTACGGTGCTTGGAAAATAACAGTGAACTGGTTTGGTTGTTGTTTAAGGAATTCGTTTGATCTCTAATGGCAATGGTTTTCCAAAATCCAAAATACAAAATGAACCTCAAGCGTTTTTATTCTGTTAACATCAAACAACGTTCAATTGTGTGATCAAATCTGGGCTTGTCCAACATCATCAGTTTCGGCATTTGATGCAATTATGCTTTGTGCCTAAAAGTGGAGCAGACAATCCGCTGGAACTATTCAATCTTTATAAAGTAAGGCTTATTGTATACCGAAACGAAAAACATGCGTGCATTGAATAACTTGGCAAAAGAGAAGGCAAACCGGTTGACCATGTGCGTTGAGTTGAATATGTCCATCGACTGAGCCCATTCAATGTAAAGTGGCACGCTTTAGAAATGTACCACCACACGCCTCAAGCCCAGATGTAATGCATTTGCAATTTGAAATTGCAGTTTATCGAGTGGAACAAGAGCAAATTATGCGCTCAAATGGATTTTCATTTCCAAACCAATTTAAGGCTTGCATTATTTATAACGCATTTGTAGTCATTGTTTTCAAAAAATTGCACCTTTTGTGGCTGCAATCAAACAGAATATTTTGTGACAATAAACTGCTTTAACCAAAGTACGAGTATAGACGATAATTGACTTATATTTTGGAAAATGCATATAATCCATCATTCGTTATGGCACATTGTATCTTTTTCATATGCTAAATGATATCTAAATCTGCAAGCAGCAGTTGGAAATTTTAAAGGAGAGTATGAGAGTATGAAAAGTATGAATATACCCAATATTTAATAATTGAAGATAGGAAATTTGAACATTGAAGAAAAAAACTTTCTTTGAAAAAACTCCTTTGTCCTATCGAAATGACTTATGGGATATCGAGAAGCACAGCAGATTTTCCCTAAAGATTCGAGCAAAACGAGTACATTTATGTAACATACACTATCTATCATACATTCTGATGGACTATCATAAAGACTGGGACTTTATTATTACAACTATGTTAAAAATTTGTTAAAAATGTTCATTAAGCATGCAAGCCATTATAACTGGTGATGAAATGTTATCTTTTTAATAAAAGGTTGAAAATAAGAGTGCGACAGGGAAGTCATCAGAACAGTTGAAAGAAAGGGAAATATGTTTTTAAAAGAGTAAAACTATAATAATGCTAGCCCTTTTTGTCAATGACAAATTCTCTGTTCACAGTGAGTTTATCTCATTAGTTCAGAAGTAGAATTTAATTTGCACTGAGAGTTCATACGATTAGTTTAGAAGCAGAATATAATTTGCACTGAGACTTCATACTATTAGTTCAGTTGCAGAATATAATCTGAAAGTACTACATTGATTGTGGAGCAAATTTCTACGAGTTTCACCTAAATATCCACCTGCCAGCTAACCAAGCAGTTAGCTTTCGTTGCATGACAATGTACTATCGTATAAAGTCAATATGCTAAGTAAAATCTTGACTAAAAAAAACACAATCATTATCTATCATCCATCGTATTCATCTGTTTCCATTCCGTGCCACTTCTGGTTATTTATATACTATTCCAATTAACTAAAAGTGTTCAACAAGTAAAGTAAAAGCAATTTCAGATTTGGGAAAGCCTGTGTAAATGGACTTTATTTTGTTGTTGGAGAAAAACGTTATATGCCGTAGAGTAGAATTTACCTTGGGAGTTGCTACACAAAAAATTTTGTTCATTTTCATGAAATGATATAATATTTTTTTTTGATAATTAGAGGTTTTTATATCCTATATAAAAACTATATATCCTATATATATCCTATATAATTAATAAAGTTTTACATATTCTTATAATATCATATATTTTGTTGTTGTTGTTATGAGGAGGTGGAATGCTTTATGCACTGTCAGACCTACTATCGTATATAGACTAAAACACTCACTCTTTGACGAAACTTATTCCCCCTCGTGACTGCTTTCGCATTACTTTGAGGAGGGTGTTTTTTATATTGGCATTTCAAGCCACGCTCTTGTGATTTTTGATCTATGCCCAAATCCAAACTTTTTCACCACTTTTTCTTAGCGTCTGCATTCTTCATTAGCCTAGTTTCTGATTCTCCTTTTTAGGTTTAGTTTCTTCGCTTTGAGGACTTAAATAACACACGACTATATCGTTCGCCAGTTCTCTGGGTTCGCTCTCATTTTTTCCACTATATTTTCGGCATTTATTGGTCAAATTTGGGATATTATCTCTTCTTGAAATGTGAGCCACCTATGTTATTACAGTAAAGGAAGCTGTGCTCTGCATCGTCAATGTGTCCGTCGCCATAAATGCAGTCGGGTAGATCCTGTCTAATAAGAAACTGTCATGACATAGTTAAAATATCATGACAAGGAAAAATTTATAGAGGTTTTTTCGAACAGTAGTGAACTACAACAACAAAAATTTTATTTTTTATATTCTTTTAATTAATTGAATTTTTGGCTGACCAATTTTTGGCTGTTTCGAGTATAGTCAAATACCCATCATCAGTGGTCTTGGAAATAATTCTTGTATTTAATTATTCGTAAATAATTATTTTTTTTTTTGAGACTGCCAGTACCAGGATTCGAACTCGGATCCTGGAAAAATTTAGTAATAAAATGTAATAAAAAATGGAAGACTATAATAAATATTACTACAAGTAAATTTAATAATTGATATAAATTATTCGTAATAAAATTTTTGATGTATTTATTGTTAATTTAATTTAATGTGCAAACTACAAAAACATCCTAAATGGCTTACAATTAATTTTTTAATATGAAATATTGCAAAAAAATTTATTGCACATATAATTCCGAGGTTTTAGCTTTAAATTAAAATTTGATTTTGAGCAAAAAATGAACTTTTTCAATAAAATGGATATTGTTTGGCTTAGTGATATTTCACAGTAATAAAATTCAAAACAAAACATGAATTTCCATAGAAAACTGTAATTGAAAATGGACATTTCCATATTTTTGTCCAGTCTGGGTAGTAACATTTATGAGGCTTTTTTTAACGCGAAATACAATATTTTGATTCTATTTAAGGCAAAATTTCATTCGATACGTAAAAGTGACATTTCAAT